AAAATATCAGGACAGTTCTATACTGCGCATCCATGTTTGATATCTGGGTCACTAAAGACCCAATGATGTAATAATGATTGACGAAACATTTATGAATGACACTGAAACTCTTCTTCACTTATTTTGGTCATGCAATTTTACTCGGCAACTTTGGAAAGATGTTATTGGGTTTATCTCGTGCAATATCTCCATGAATCCCAAAACCATTATTTTTGGGGGGTTTTGAAGCCGATTCAAATGCCTGCTTTATTATTTTCCTGTGTAGATTTTATATTCACAACCACAAGTGTAAGTTTTCCAATTTTTCTGGTGTTCTTGCATGAGATAAAACATTACTTCACTACAATTTCTTCCTCTCTTAACCCAAAAGCACTCAGAACATGTAAAATTTGTAAGTCTTACAAACTTTTTACTATTTATTTTTTAAGTATTGCCCTCTTTTAATTTTTTATTTTATTTTTTTCTTCTGTTCCTATTTATCATTGTCAAACTTCTGTTTTTTTACTATTATGTTGTTGTGTTATTATGTTGTTTTACTCTGTAAACTGAGTGTTTAAATAAAGCATTTAAAAAAAAACATTAATAATTAGGGTTAATCCCAAATTATTTGACTATAATGATAGCCTGATTAGTCAAATTCCTACACTGTAAAAAAATATTGATGGTTTAACTTAAAAAAAGTAAGTTACCTGGTTGCCTTAAAATTTTAAGTTCATTAAACTGGAAAAAGTGAGTTTATACAATGAAGGAGATTAATTTAATCATCAGAAACTCAAAATTATATGTTATCTCAACTAAATAAATTATTTAAGTTGATTTGACAAAAGAAAAAATGTTGTGATTACTACACTGTAAAAAAAAATATTGTTGGTTTAACTTAAAAAAGTAAGTAACCTGGTTGCCTTAATTTTTAAGTTGATTGAACTGGGAAAAGTGAGTTAATACAAAAAAATAAGTTATTGCAACTAAATAAATAATTATAAAGTTGATTTGACAAAAGAAAATATGTTGTGATAACAAATCTTAAAAATATTTTTTACAGTGTAGGTGAAGCGAATATCATTGATCATCTTCTAAGAAGGCCAAATGTAGATTAGATTAATTTAATCAGTTCTCATAATCAACATGTTAGATGCAGTTGCTTTTATATTTTAGAAAGGGGGTCCATCATAGCCCAAGGGGAAATGATCACACTTGGAGATCTGGATCTATCTGCTAATTCCACAAGATCTGTGTCTTTCTCCTTTCTTTCTTTCTTTCTTTCTTTCTTTCTTTCTTTCTTTCTTTCTTTCTTTCTTTCTTTCTTTCTTTCTTTCTTTCTTTCTTTCTTTTTAAAGCACTCTAAACTGTCTCAATGCTCAATGTCACAGCATCCGATAAAGGAGATTGTTTTTTTTCACCCGACCCCTCTTTGCAATTCTTGTCTCCTCTTTCTCTCCTCTCTCACACATTCTCTTCCACAATAAATATCAAACAGCCAGAGCAGTGACACTGGTGGTGGAAATCAATTTAGTCTTGATGCTGCATAAACTGTGGCTCGCCAGAGGAGGTTTGTTTGGTCCCGTGCGGAAACGCACCTGAGAGTTTTCGGCCTTTCTGTCAAACATGCCTGAATAATTCATCATTTTCTTTGCCTTTCCTCTGCCCATATACGCCACTGCTTTGATTCAAGAATTGGAAATATTCACTATCATATGGGGCCTAATCTCATTCTCCTTCCTTCCCTTCTCCTGTATCTTTATAGTTTGCCTTCTATCACCACAAACGCAAAGTTTTACTTCCAACCTGCACTGAATCTTGCCTTGCCTTTGTTCCTCCGTGTGACCGACTCGATCGATTATTTTAAAAGGCATCTTAAGACACTTTTATTTAGACAAGCATTTAGTTTTATTTTGTTGTAATTTTACTGATTGTATACTGTTTTATTTTGTGGTTGCACTTTGTGATTTTTATCTGTGAAAAGTGCTCTATAAATAAACTTTACTTACTTACTTACTAAATCTCTTCTACTGAAATAATAATAAATAAATTTGGGGTTTTTGGATCTGGTTTTGGAACATGATAGTTGGTTACAAGCTGCTAATTAGCATGATGATAATTGTAATGTTTTTTTGGTTTATTTAGTCAACCTATCCTGTTTTTTGGTTGGTCAAGTTTTACACTAAAAAAATGATATGTTGGCTTTACTTTACTTTACTTTTTACCAACACTATCTCACGACCAATTCGTACGAATTCGACGAATGATTAAAAAGTGGCTAATTTGTACGACCTCACTCGTACGAATTCGTATGATTTGTCTAAACTCACGTGATGGTTAGGTTTAGGGGCGGGGTAAGGGGTAGGTCATTCGTACGAATTCATACGAATTGGCCAATTCGTAAAACATGTACGATTTAGCAAAATCGTATTAATTCGTACGAGTGAGGGCATATGAATTGTTACGAATTAGCCACCTCATAAAATTCGCTGTTTTTTCGTCAACGGGTTCTGGGTTACGTTAAACAAATATAATTTGTTCATGTAACTTCAACATCATGAAATTAAGTAATCTTGACCGACCCAACTTAAGTAGTCTCGACGTGAATTTTTAAAGGCTTCCTGACATGATTCAGGCATTATTTTATATTCATTCATTCATTTATTTATATTTCAATTATTTCAGTAACACATAATTAAATTGATGGACTATAGCTAGCTATTTTCTAGCACATATTAGCATCTTAAATGCTAAGATTTACATGCTCCTTTAATCAATGCAATAGAAATAAGTTAAATCAGTCGACACACAAACAAAATGCTCCACTCTTCTCCACAATGGTAACCCACTGCAATTTAAATGCAATTTTACATCAAACACAATTACACACTATCAAGTCTTCCCCTTTTCTAAATTCTAAAAAACATAAAATAACACTTAATTTTAACATGTATTCTCTCTTAATTCAACCATATGCAAAGCATGCTGGGAACTAAAAGCACCACCCAGGTTCAGTTAATCCAACACAAATGGATTAAGTAAACTTAAGTAGATTGAACACAATCAAATTAAGTTCGGGCAAAATGGCAGTCGGTTCGCACTATACCGCCACCCTCTGGATGTAAGAATTTTTTACTTAACATAAATGTTTTGTGTTTAGACAGCGCAATTGAGACATAATTACATAGACTTAGTTTAATAGAAAAAAAAACATTTCAAGTCAAAGTTATTATAAGTAAACTAAATATAAATATATTATGCAAAGTGCACAACCTTCCTAGTTATTTTTTTTTTTTTTGAATGTAGTTGACTAAAATTCTGGAAATTTGAGTCTATTTTTTATCATTATTTGATACTCTTCTTCCCCTTTATAGGCTACTAAGGTAGCACTGCGATTCCACACACCGCCTTTGATTCCTTTGATTCCTATCCACATGCTAATGCGTCTTCTCAATCCAAACAGACCTTCAAATTGCAACCGCAGGACTCAAAGAGTTTGCTACAGACTTTCATAGAAGTCAATACAACTCATTCCCCATATTTGCTCACGGTAATGGCAGTTGTGCAACGAAAATAGCCAGCAGACCAAAGCAGGGTACAATTGTGACAGGCACTTTGATCCTTTGATGTGAACATTAATAAATATGGTGATACAACTAGGAAGTGGCAAAAGATTAGGCTTCAGACTTCAAAGAAAACAGTCTTTGTTTACTGTAATAGTAATGTTAAAATAACAAGCTGAGCTAGCTATTGGGACCCTGTATAAAAACACATTTGCATGTGTTTAATTTTTAGTGCAGGCCAGACTTATTGGCTGGCAGGAACCTTCCACTTGGTGCAACATAAACACAGTTTCACATGGGACGTGGAAACTCAAGTCCAATGAGAGATAAACAAAATCATGACGATGTGCAGGCAGTGCTCGTACACCCGAAAGCCGGTCACTTGCACTGCAGCTCTTCGTAGTTCTTATAAATATTATATTAAAGGAGTAGTTCACTTTAAAAAAAAAAAAACGTTTGCTGATAATTTACTCGCCCCCGTGTCATCCAAGATGTCCATGTCTTTCTTTCTTCAGTCGAAAAGAAATTAAGGTTTTTGATGAAAACATTCCAGGATTTTTCTCCATATAATGGACTTCAATGGGGTCCAAACGGTTCAAGGTCCAAACGGTTTCAGTGCAAACCCCTCTGTTTTGTGATGTGCGTTCATGACTCTCCTGTTCGAACTCGTTCATTAAAATTTACGAATTTTTTTCCCGAGTCAATTCGTTCATTTCGTTCATTGAATGAACCAAATGACACACAAAAAGATTCATTCATTTTGATAAATGAATTCAAACAGGAGAGTCACAAACGCCCATCACAGAACAGAGCAAGGCGAGCATTTGAGCTTATAAAACTTAAACTTTGTTATTTATTTATTAAATGAGCGATCGTTTCGCTTGATAAGACCCTTATACATCGTCTGGAATCGTTTAAAGCCCTTTGAACAGTTTTCACTGAAACTGTCTTTTAAACCTTGAACCTTTTGGTTCCCATTGAAGTCCATTATATGGAGAAAATCCTGGAATGTTTTCATCAAAAACCTTAATTACTTTTCGACTTAAGAAAGAATGACCTCGACATCTTGGACGACACGGGGGTGAGAAAATTATCAGCAAAAGTTTTTTTTTTTTTTTTTTTAAAGTGAACTACTCCTTTAAGGAGGTTTACTCTTTTAAGCAAACAATCGTTTTGAGAGGTTTGATAATTGAGTCTTCCTTAAAATTTAGCTTTTTAAAATTTAATTTTGATTGTAATTTAAATATTATTTAACGATTGTTTACAATTTGTTACTGGACAAAAATACTGATTAAAGATTTATTTATTTAAGATTCATTAAGCCAAATTCTAATCAATTAGAATCAATGTAATAATCTATTTTACATCTATTTTACATTTTACAGAGCATTTTTTTTTGCCTTCATGTCATTAACCTGTTGTATTTCTCTCTCGCTTTCTTTTCCTCTCTTTCTGCAGGATGGCATGGGTCACCTGCGTATCACAGAAAGAGGCCTGAAACTGGAGGGCGATTCGGAGTTCCTTCAGCCGCTGTATGCCAAAGAAATCCAGTCCAGACCAGTAAGTGCACATCAGGGCCTGTCAGCATGCTGTCCAGTATCAGTGAGGCTGCAGTGGATGGATGGCTTGATAATGTGTACAGTAGTGCTGGACTGATCTCATCTGAGACTACAGAGAGTGAAAGACAGAGTGACAGAAAGAAACACAAAGAGGAGATGAGCTGAATAACAATGGCCTGGTTATGAGATGAAACTCCTGTAGGAATAAAAGACTCACTCCAAGAATTAGACAAACACCGTATGCTGACAAGATGGAGACACTAGGAGAAATAACCAGCTTATAGATATATGCAGAAAACGTGGAGTGAAGCGCTGTTGACCAACATATTTGGGGTTAGGGACACTTTTACTTACTGGAGTGGGATATTTTTCCATCTCTGGTAAGATATCAGTCATGATGATAAGTGTGTTCATTAATTATTAGGGGTGATCCGTGATCCGCAAGGACGTCGGCACGCATGTGATTCGCGTTGAAGTTTAACCATCAGAGAGTGAAAGTTTCTCATTTGGACGTGTTTTTCCTTGCCAATTTACACATTCATACGACTTTAACCCTCTGATGGTCTTCCTTTATGGGTCACGTCCTGGGCCTTCTCGGTCAGAAGTGAACGGAGGCCTAAAAATGAAACTTCTTCCATCCCAGTAAAATCAATGCAATTTATTTTTGTTCTATATTTATTCTTTTAAATGTAGTATTTTGAGACAATTTGATTGAATTTATTAATATTTATGCAATATTTATGGTCTATTTGTTCAATGGAAATATATATATATATATATATATATATATATTATTTTTTAATTATTAATGCAGTATTTTTGTTTAATATAGAGTCTAGGTCTTCAGAAAAAATTTTTTTGAAGAAAATTTGCACCATCTGGTTACAGTACAGAGAAAAAGCGTAGAATCATGGTGTAACTACTATATGGCATGTACAGCTCTCTATGGAGAGGCATGTGAATTCCCCAGATGTTTATGAACACATTTTTTTTTTTTTTTGGTGGATTTGAATATATAATTGAAACAATCTCAAAAACTGTTTCTTATTTAAAAAATTGTAAAAAAAATAAATAAATAAAAAATAAAAAAAAAAGACCAAAGACCGAAATCGTGACTAATTTTTTTACGACCACTTAGCATGCTCGGATCATGAACTAAATTTTTGTAGATTTGTAGATTGTAGTTTTTTTGTAAATTTCCCATTCATTTCCTATGGGTCGGTCATTTCTGACCGAAGACCACGAGTGTGACTATTTTTTTTTATGACCACTTAGCATGCTTGGGTCATGACCTCATTTTTTTTTTTTTTTGTATTCACATACCAAATGCCAAAAAAGTCACCATGCATCATAACCTTCCGATGAAGCTGTGATTTTTAATAATTCAAAACTAAATTCAAAATTATTCGGTCAGAAGTGACCGAGGACCATCAGAGGGTTAAATGTGGAAGCAAAAACGAAAATCGTGACTCGCGAGCTTATTTGCACACACCCGCACATGCAATCTAACATACAATGAAAAACAAAAGGTTTGGAATATTAAATTTGAAGGCATCATCCAAAAGAGAGTGTGAAATAATGAAGGAATTATTTCACACTCTTTAGTGATGATGCCTTCAAATTTAATATTCCAAACCTTTTGTTGTTTGTCGTCACATGTTAGATTGTACGTTTTAGATGTTATAGACGTTTAGATGTTTTATTCAGAAGGTCACAGCGTATGAATAATTGAACACCTGTTGCATTCCTGATGTTTCTCTGTGTAAACAACTCTCCACCAGTATCAGCATATGATGAATCTGCTTCACATTTCTATTACATTGAGACTTTAATGTCAAAATGAAATCAGAATTCACCTTGTGTACTTTGTCTGCACATTTTAGTTTAAAAAGAAGTCAAGAGACATTTAGAATGGAGTTGACTATGACATTAATGTGATTAATCGCAATTAAATATTTTAATCGTTTGACATCACTAGTAACAATATAATTGATCTGTGTGTCAGGTCTTAAAGTATCAGCAGCCTAATATAGCTGACAAATAATGAATTCATATTAAAATATCTTTATGGAAGTTTTTCAATGTCAAAATTGTGGATAATGAAAATGTGGAGTGGCTATAACTTTCAAAAAAAAAAACAGCTTTAGAATTGAAGATAATTATGTATTTTCCTGATTTTAATGTACTCAATGACAAGGAGTTTATTAAAAGATAAGTGCAAGTCATAGAAAATATAGCTTGTGTTCCTCTTAATTAGCCTCACAACTGCAGTAGACGTTTTTTTTCTGTTTCTGACCTATTTTTGCAGATGTTCTCACAATAATGAAGAGCATTTAAAAAGAAAGCATTTCACACTTGAGTTAATACAGAGCAGCAAAACTAAAATGCATAATTTAAATTAAAGACGTATCTCTAGCTTTTAATATGCAACACAAACGTATCTTTATTTAACGAGTCAACTGGAGCATGAAATCTTGTTCTAGATTGGCAGATATCTGGGTTTTTGTTTTGTTTTTTCTCACTATTTTCAGCTATATGCAGATGGATTGTATTTTATTATTATTTTTTTTTATCTATTCTTGGAGGAGACCATCTGCCCAACACTTAAATCAACCCAGACATGCATGCTGTGTTAATTTTTGATTGGCCCCTAAGCATAGAGAGAGATATCTTTACCAAGTGTTTGCACAGTACCCTGCCTAGGATTTTGTGCACTCACAGGCGAACGTGTACAACCGCAAAATCATTTTTAACGAGAATTGTTGTCTTATTTCCCTGAAACAAAATTTAAACAGCCTCAATACAAGACACATTCACCTGATAAGCGTGACTACATAAATTATTAAGACTTGTTTTAAGAGAATGTTTCTTGATTGTGTGTATTTTGCACTGGCTGTTTTTTTTTTCGGTAGTTTTAAGCAGAATAACAATTGAACACACACACACCAGCCCGTTCTCATCCCAAGACGTCATATACTGACGCTTTTGCCAATCCGTAGACATCCGACACACATGGCACCCTTTAGCGTCAAAATGAGACGCAGATATATATGCGCCTCCTAGTGGTCGAACACTAACCCTACACCAGAACTAAAACTACCCATAACCGAAGCGTGTTATATTGACGCTAAAGGGTGCCATGTGAGCAATGTATGTATACGCATTGTCAAAATTGTCATTGTTCAACAATGATTTTTGAAATTGCCTACTGTGCCTTTAACTTAACAATTGCAGGTTACAACTTTTTATAGTGTGGAAGACAATTTAGTTGAATTTATTAATTTATTATTTATTTATTTGTATCTTTTTTAATGTCAGGGAAGCCCATTGTTCCTGCAGTCTTCTAAGAACGTGTCTGTCAACATCCTCAACGAGAAGAAGCAATTAGTATCTCAACTCGTTGCAGGTAAGCACGCAAACACAAACACACTCGAGCTAAAAAATTGTTTAAAAACCCTCATGCAACCCCCTTTGTGCTAATTACAATGGTCTTGCTCCCCAAGATTTCGCAGACTATAAATCAAAATGAAGATCTCTGTGGGCGTTTATATCAGGGTAGATAGCATGAAATGAAATATTCACTGAACTCAGGAGGCGCCTATATGGGCCAATCCGCTCACAGGAGGAAAATGAATCCAGGCAGCTATAATGTTGGATTTTATGGGACAGATGGTTAAATGACTATTTTGAAAGAGTTAAAGGGTTATTTGATAGCCAGATTGTTATAGTCTCATCCTTCTCATGATGTAGCCTTTATAACTGTGACTAGAGACTTCATTACAGCGCAGTAATTGCATGTGCACGGATGCAAGTCCTGGTTAATAGCGTAAATAGTAAGGCTATGTTTTAATGAAAGTAATTTAGCCTTAACTGGACTAGTTAAGTGACTTTCACTTGAGTTATGGTGCTAGAACAACTATATACAAAACAAAATGAAGTGGAAGTGTAAAAACAAGTATATGTTTCATTAATTGAATTCTAATCTGGTCAGAAAAGTCATTAAGTAAATTACAAGATTGAATGTGCTAAATGGCAAATATTTTAAATGCTTGCTGCTTGTTTGCAGTAGTATATATTTTAGAGATGTATCACGGTACGTGCTCACCGACGCCAGAAAAATATCTAGCATGTAGGATATCCAGAGCTGTCGCACGACTCAACCTCGGTGATGTCATGAGCTACAGCCAATCAGAGCAAGGCATGGGTTGAGGTCACCGGGTAAATCTTATTTTTTTCTTTTTTTTCTCCGAGCAAATCATCGCGCAAACAGTTTGCAGCACTAGTTTCTGTCTGACGTCCATATTCGTGTGTTGTGTTCTTCGCTGAGTATTGGTGCACGTGCTGTTTCGCGTCTTAAAATCGTGTAGGATTTCATTAATTTCTTATTCAAACAAAATCCTGTCATCCAGCTATCTACTCCCTTCCTCTTTCATCCTCATCCTTTTCACCAAAAATTTGATTATATGTATAATGTATTATCTGTTAACCAAAGGCTTTTTAACCTTCGCTTTTCCTTCAATGCAAATGAACAAGTGCGCCGTTATTTGTTGCGTAGTGACCTGCATGTTCAAGTATACTGTAAAAAAAAAATTGTTGGTTTAACTTAAATAAAAAAAAGTTCATTGAAATGGAAAAATTGAGTTAATACAATGAAGGAGATTGATTTAATCATCAGAAACTCAAAATATTAGGCTATATGAACTATATAAATTATTTAAGTTGATTTGACAAAAGAAAAAATGCTGTGATTACAAATCATGAAAATATTATGCGCAGATTCTGTGCAATAGGCCGTATTTAATTTATTATAAACTAATTTTTGTAGTATTTGCGCTAAATCTGCACAGAATTGGCCCAGAAGAGCTTCCCCGGCAAAGTGAGTAAACATAATAAGAAACACACCAAATTGGCTAGTGATTTGACAGCGTTACCCACATTTGGCGGGTTGTTAATTTCAAACCCTGCTTGAGTGCCATCTGAACTCTTGTTTTGGGTTAGTGGATAAATTGTCTCTTCTTCTTCCGCTCTTTTTCCTGTTGTGGCGAAAAGCAAACGGCGTTGCATCACTGTGCACGCCCCCTTCTGGACTGGAGTGTGGATTGCCTGTGTGGCGTCCATTCCATGACTGTTCGGGGCAAATACATGTACCGTTACACCCCTAATATATATATATATATAATAGTATGATTTGAGTTAGATTCTTAGGGGGCACATGGAAAATGTTCTTCATAAACTGTAAAAATATATTTTTGTCAGGTGCTCATGGAGTTCATGCACGGGGCAAAATGCTGGAGGTAAAATCAAGTGCAGGAAAACTGCTCTTCTCTGCGGACGACCATGAGGTGGTAGTTGGTGCAGAGAGATTACGAGTTATGGGTGAGTGAACATTTAAATTATAACACATTTGGGGGTATTAAACTTTTTTAATGCTCACAGAAAGCCTTAGCCCTATTCCCATCACACGGTTGTTTGGCACAGTCAACAAAGAGAAAGCTGAAGTGCTAACAGAGCCTCGCAGAACTGATTTTAAACACAGACTGGCATCAGACATTGTACGCATTGTGTTGGTAATTGATATAGTGGTATAATTCAATAAGATTTGATGTCAAAGTCCATTTTAAACATTTAAGAAACAATGGCAAAGCAACTACAATATAATACACAAATCTGCCTTATTATGGTATGGTCCTGTTTTATATAAAAATCTGAGTTTTTATTTTATTTTATTTTATTTATTTATTTATTTATTTTGGGGTGGTTGATGTCTTGTTATTAGGGATGGGCATCCAAAATAAAAGTTTGTGTTTACATAATATACGTTTGTGTAGTGTGTATAATTAATTTGTATATTAATTAAATTTGCAAATTTAAAATTTGTATATAAATACCCACACATGTATGTGTATATTTAAGAAAAATGTGTTATTAATATATCAAATATTTATATTTATATATAATATTAATAATGTGTAAATGTATATACATGCAAATATTTCTTAAATATATACATGCATGTGTGTGTATTTATATATACAAATTAATTATACACACTACACACACATATATTATGTAAACACAAACTTTTATTTTGGATGCGATTAATCGCGATTAATCGTTGCCCATCCCTACTTGTTATATTTGTATTATACGAAAATTCAATTAAAAAACAACCTACTACAATATAATGAAACATTTGACATTTGTTTGTTGCTTTCAAAACTAAATTCAATACTATTTGCAACAATATTGTCTAACATACAGGTTTTCAAACTGGGGATGTTTTTGGTGGGGGAAAATATACACATGCATTTTTAAAGACACAACTGCTGAACGATATTGTTGTTTTAATCAAAATGTTATTCCATTGATTTTAATTTTATTGCTGTCTAGTTGATGGAAAGTAAACATTTTCCAGCTTTGGCTTTAGTACAGAGACAATAGCATCGTTATTATTATTGATATTATTATGATTATTATAAAAGGCATATTGGCCCATTTATACTCTAGTCCTATTATGTTGAAAGAATATTGGCACAAGTCGTCTCGTGTGGAAAAGGCCTCTCAGTGTTTGGTCACATTTGGCATGAAAACAAGAAGCTTTTGGCAGTGCTTTCCAATATTAAAATCCCAGATGGGGAGAAAATATATATATATTTATGTTTTTTCCCCCATTTATCTTTTTTTGGGAGGTTAAAGAAAAATCCTGGACTTTTCAAGGTTGTTTTGTGCTGTATTTGATCATGGAGCTTTGCTTGTCTCAAGGGTAGAGCTAAACTTGCTTTAAAGTGATTACTCAAGCCTGTGTACATCCATTTTCCCCCAATGATTTTCCCTAAGCCACAGTTCATTACCTTACATCCCCTCAAACTCAGCGACGGACCGCAGCGAGAACAGGAGTATTTAGAACTGGATGTTTCTCTTTCGGATTTTATCTCAAGTGTTCCTGGGGTGATGCCACGCATATGAATTAGTTTGGTGGACCACACAGGGATGATGAATCCTGCTACTCTAATACTGAGATAAAAGCCTGTCTCTTTACGAGTCTATAGCTTACAAACAGTCTTAAGAGCTCCTGCCATGCAATATATCTACGCTCTAATGTCATGACAGCTGAGAGCGAGTCCAGGGTAAACACAAGTCCGATTGCCATCAGATCAACTCAGAATACAACTTTACACCTGTCTGTCCAAGCAAGACGCAACAAACACCAATGTTCACTCTAATATTTGTTCTTCGATTAGGCATGGGCAACGATTAATCGCATCCAATCCAAAATAAAAGTTTGGGTTTACATAATATATTTGTGTGTACTGTGTATAATTAATTTGTATATACCCACACATGCATGTATATATTTAAGAAATATGTGCATGTATATATTTTATATATATTTATTCACAATTAGTATTATATATAAATATAAATTTTTGATATATTAATAACACATTTTTCTTAAATATATACATGCATGTGTGGGTATTTATATATACAAATTATTTATACACACTACACACACATATATTATGTAAACACAAACTTTTATTTTGGATGCGATTAATTGTTACCCATCCCGATATCTTCGACAAATCTCTTTCTATTTGGGCAAATCTTTTAAAAATCTGAATCGCAGGGCTTGACACCTACTTTTTTCCCCAAGAAAATGACAACTTTAGGCACACTTAAAGAACTTGATAAAATAATTTGTTTTTCCTTAATTAAAAGAGATACATGAGACATGGCTAAATGATTTTATTTATTTGAATTAAAAAAGCATTCTAGGTTTTTAATTTCTTCAGCTCCAATAATTATGGGATTATGTATATTTTAAACATTGAATTAAATGCCAGATACAGTGTATTGTGTAACCAAAATACTAATAATTCTGCATAGTGCAGGACTTTGAATTATAAACACTTGTACTTATTTTGAAATATCTTAAATGAATTGTTCACTTTGAAATTAATTTTTGGTATGTTTTATCTTACCTTAAGGACATCCAAGATGTAGATGTCTTTGTTTCCGCAGTAGTTTCAATTTTGATATTTATTTGTCAGTCATATAATGGAGGTCTATGGTCACCACCTCAAAGAGCATGCACAGAGAAGTCCAAATTAAACATGATTTAATGACTCGTAAATGTAAAAGGTTACACTGGGCGCTATTCTATTCTACAATATTCACAAATGACAGTCATCCTATAAGTCAATTTATTGTAGTAATTCCTCTCTTAACCAGAAAATGATTTGAACACCTGATTATGCATTAAAAAAAAAACGTCATAAACCAGAAAACCGGATTAATTTTGGAAAGAAAAGAAAAAAAACGTGATATACATTTTTGGTCAAACCGCCCAGCACGCCGTTTTAAAGAGAAAATACTCAGCAATGGCGTTGACTGGTGAATTTGCACATAGTTTGTCTTAAAGCGTATTAAAAACACCACATAGACATATAAACAACATTTAAATCTTGATTTTCACAGCGGGACTTTAAGTGTGTATAAAAACTTGAACTCACAAGTTTCTATTTTACTTGACATTTACATTTTTAGAGGTTAAAAAAAGTTTTGGAAAGGTTGGTTAAAAAATAAACAATAGGAAACTAACATGAATACAAAGAGTATTTTTCTGCATTTGGCAGACACTTTTATCCAAAATGACTTTCCATTCACATCCACATTTTATCAGTTGCCATTGCCATTGTTTTAAGCTTCAGGAAGGAAGGGTGCATTGACAAGATCTTGACATATGAATGATACGTGATATCTTCTAAATTCTTTGAGATGCGAGTACAATGTGAAAAGTGGTAACCTGCAATTGTTATATTTAAAGAGCTATTTCTACCTGATCTTACGTTTTACATTTAGTTTTGTTGGTGTGACCTAATACATATTTAGGTTGATTCAGTACTGTTTAATAAAAATAACAAAAATAAAAAATCTTGAATATAATCAATTAGTTTAGAATTTACACTCTAAAAAATGTTGGGCTGTTTCAACCCATATTTGGGTCAAATATGGACAAACCCAAATGTTGGGTTAAAAAATTGGCAATTATATTTTTGACCCAACAGTTAAATTTTGTTCATACACTCTAAAAATGCTGGGTTGTTTTAACCCAACTTTGGGTCAAATATGGACAAACCCAAATGTTGGGTTAAAAATGAAAAATGCAATATGGACTGCATTTATATAGCGCCTTCATAGACCTAATGGCCACCAAAGCGCTTTACATTTTGCCTCACTTTCACCCATTCATACACTCATTCACACACCGACGGCGGTGTCAGCCATGCAAGGCGCCAGCCAGCTCGTCGGGAGCAGCTGGGGTTAGGTGTCTTGCTCATGGACACCTCGACACTTGGTCAGGTGGAACCGAGGATTGAACCACCAACCTTTCGGTTCGTGGACAACCCACATGAACCACTGAGCCACTGCCGCCCAATAAAAAATGTACAGTTGAAAGTGAGAGTAGAAGTTGGGTTAAAATTGGCACTTACATTTTTGACCCAACAGTTAAATTTTGTTCATACACTCTAAAAATGCTGGGTTGTTTTAACCCAACTTTGGGTCAAATATGGACAAACCCAAATGTTGGGTTAAAAATGCAATAAAAAAATGTACAGTTGAAAGTGAGAGTAGAAGTTGGGTTAAAATTGGAAATTACATTTTTGACCCAACAGTTAAATTTTGTTCATACACTCTTAAAAATACTGGGTTGTTTCAACCCATATTTTGGGTCAAATATGGACGAACCCAAATATTGGGTTAAAAATGCAATAAAAAATGTACAGTTGAAAGTGAGAGTAGAAGTTGGGTTAAAATTGGCAATTACATTTTTGACCCAACAGTTAAATTTTGTTCATACACTCTAAAAATGCTGGGTTGTTTTAACCCAACTTTTTTAAAAATGCAATAAAAAAATGTACAGTTGAAAGTGAGAGTAGAAGTTGGGTTAAAATTGGAAATTACATTTTTGACCCAACAGTTAAATTTTGTTCATACACTCTTAAAAATACTGGGTTGTTTCAACCCATATTTTGGGTCAAATATGGACGAACCCAAATATTGGGTTAAAAATGCAATAAAAAAATGTACAGTTGAAAGTGAGAGTAGAAGTTGGGTTAAAATTGGAAATTGATTTTTTGACCCAACAGTTAAATTTTGTTCATACACTCTTAAAAATACTGGGTTGTTTCAACCCATATTTTGGGTCAAATATGGACGTACCCAAATATTGGGTTATAAATGCAATAAAAAATGTACAGTTGAAAGTGAGAGTAGAAGTTGGGTTAAAATTGGCAATTACATTTTTGACCCAACAGTTAAATTTTGTTCATACACTCTTAAAAATACTGGGTTGTTTTAACCCAACTTTG